ACATAAGTGAAAGTGGTAATGGCGGACAATATTGAGAAAGTACAAGAAGAGGCATCAAAGCCCAAGCAGAGGAAGCTGATACAGGAGTCGTAAAAGAGACCTTCCTACAAGCCTTTTGGTCCGCAAACTTCGGCATGATTGCATGTCTATTTTAACATTTCTTAAATGAAAATTCAATTGCTATTATTTCTTATAGTTGTTCAACTTGCTTCAAGCTACTTTCTTGTTATTGAAATTAGTTTAAAAGCATCGATATCTTCTTCCCAGTTTTTTTATTTCACTATCACGCCTTGGAGATATATCTTCGATATTATAAACATTTTCTTTTCTACAGAAAGCATTATTTCCTGCCTTTGGCATTTGGTTACTATTTTAGATGTATTGATCATCCGAGTATATGAACCTAATCTATCCATAAGTATTTTACATGCCATACTGGTTGGATGCACAAAGTTATTTCAATAGGCAAACGCTTTTTTTGATAGTGTGTGCATCCAATTCCATGTTCATATTAGCTTGGTTTTATATGTATCAACTTTCGTGACTAAAATATGTACCTTCATTTGCACATGAAAACCTCATCCCTAAAAGAATCTCATACAGACACAATAACATTTAGGAATATGTTATTTAGAGTGAACTGAGCCAAAAAAATTATTTACCAAGTGTGTTTCTAAACACTAAAGATTAGTAAGTGTCTAAGATTTAGGTGAAAATTTATGGAACTTTCAGAATAATTCCAATAATATTTGACACGCTAGCATTACGTTAAAAATAACACAGTCTATGCATTGCACGAGCATAAGACTAGTATATCCAAAAGTATCAATAACTACATTAACTCATGCTCAGATAGAAATAATTTTATTGTATAACTTCAATGAAAATTCAATGGAATATTATTGTGTTTATTAAAGACAAAGAAAATGATAGAAAAATATGATCAAACATCTCTCTCTCTTTCAAAAATGTGGTATCCACAAGTTAAGCCCCTATTTGATTCTCATTAAAATGAGAATACTTGACCAAAAAACATTTTCCCACGATGTTGATGAATTAAAAATTTTAGATTTGTCAATATATTTGTGAGATGAACAGGAAAAGCAAAATGCTCATTGAAAAGTGAATGCCAAAAATACCCTGCTTTGGTCAACTAAAATTACACAAGTACCCTCAACCCACTACCAAAAGGGCAGGCTTCTTTGAAAATGACATAAAAATGGGGCCATAAGTCATTGAGTGAGACATCCATTTTGAATACATTGGAGCTCAATGAGACAAATTAATGGTCCATGAAACCTCAAAAATAAAAATAAAGAAAGGAAAAAAAAAATGATTGAGACAACAACGTGGTAGCCAAAAGAGATCAACACATTTTGTAGTTCTAACTTTTAAAACCGTCTCCAATGGGTGTCCTATTGCACCATTTTGGTGCAAAATGGTATAACACTGTTTACTGCACCATTTTTTTGCATCAAATGATGCAATGTTCATTTTGGCCTTCTCTTTCATTTTTCAAAAATAATGGTTAAAAATGTTTTTGTCATTTTTGTTCTATAATAATAATAATAATAATTAATTGCATTATTAAAGTTTATTATTTAATAATAATTATGGATTTTATAATTTAGTAATTATTTTTGTAAATTTAGCGTAATTGTTTATAATAAATAAATAATATAATCAATTATTTTTGTCAATTTAACATAATATATAAAATATGTGAATAATTTAGTAATTAGTAATAATTCAATATATTTGTCAATTTAATATTACCTTAAAAATAACATGACCCTTGCATTGCACGGGCATAAGACTAGTAGATCCATATGTATCAATAACTACATTAGCTCATGCTCAGATAGAAATAATTTTATTGTATAACTTCAATGAAAATTCAGTGGAATATTATTGTGTTTATTAAAGACAAAGAAAATGATAGAAAAATATGATCAAACATTTCTCTCTCTCTATATCTTTTTTTATTTTATTTTATTTTTCAAAAATGTGGTATTCACAAGTTAATCCCCTATTTGATTCTCAATAAATTGAGAATACTAAACCAAAAAACATTTTCCCACGATGATAATGAATTAAAAATTTTAGATTTGTCAATATATTTGTGAGATGAACACGAAAAGCAAAATGCTCATTGAAAAGTGAATGCCAAAAATACCCTGCTTTGGTCAATTAAAATTACACAAGTACCCTCAACCCATTACCAAAAGGGCACGCTGCTTTGAAAATGACAAAAAAATGGGGCCACAAGTCATTGAGTGAGACATCCATTTTGAATACATCGGAATAAAGAAAGGAAAAAAAAAATGATTGAGACAGCAACGTGGTAGCCAAAATAGATCAACACATTTTGTAGTTCTAACTTCTAAGGTCATCTCCAATGGGTGCCCTATTGCACCATTTTGTTGCAAAATAGTACAATACTATTCATTGCACCATTTTTTGCCCCAAATGATACAATGTTCGTTTTGCCCTTCTTTTTCATTTTTCAAAATTAATGGTTAAAGATATTTGTGTCATTTTCGTTCTATAATAACAATAATAATTAATTGCATTATTAAAGTTTATTATTTAATAATATAAATAATAATAATTATGGATTGTATAATTTAGTAATTATTTTTTGTAAATTTAACGTAATTGTTTATAATAAATTAATAATATAATCAATTATTTTCGTCAATTTAACATGATATATAAAACATGTGAATAATTTAGTAATCAATAATAATTTAATATATTTGTTAAATTAACGATTTTATGATTTAATAATTTATATAATTATAAAATAAATAAATAAATACATTTTTTAAATAAGTACATTGTCAAAAATTGAAAGAATGAATAAAATAATAAAATACTATTCATTCGGTGTAAATTTTGATATAATGATTGGAGATGAATTTTGATTTGGTGCAAATTTTGATGCAATGCTGGAAATGGCCAATAATTATCATATCCAATCTGATCATTAATCTAGCCAAAGCACTAGGTTAGTGGGTAACTTGTCAATTGATGAAATATTGCAGTGTCTGAAGGTGATTTATTCATTTATTTATTTTCAAAAAAAGGAGCATAGATATAACTATGAGTTTTTCATATAACTTCGCTTTTTTTCTTTTTTCCCATTCATCATTAAAATTTTGTTTGTCATATTTTTCATATATATATCTTTGAAAAATATCTAAAAATTATGTGATATATATTTTGTGGGTTATGTTACATGTGCATTATGATATTCATAAGAATGTACATAATATACACTATTTTTCAACCATTCAATGATGTTATGCCATGTATATATTATGGTGTTTTAACACCATTTCAATTATCTATTCTTCAATAAAATAATATTACACGTAAATTCAAAAAAAATTCTTATTTTTTAATTATACATTTTTCATTAATATACTATTCAAAAATGTATTTTTATGAAAATAATAGAGCTCAAACAAGAGATAATTCTATTAAATAATGGGGGTATTCGAGTTGAAAAGTATGACTCTTGCATACCTGATGTGATTGGTTCAAATATTTGCGCTTCTATTTTGTAAATTTTCAAAATAACCCTGCTTTTTGGCCAGGTTCAAAACCAGGCAGCTTCCCTTGTATTCAGGGCTGGTTTTGAGCCTGTACTTACGGCTTTTTTGTTTTCAAAATCTGTTGGTTTAAATCAATCGGTTCACTCGATTTGATGAGTCAATGTTGATTCAATTATATATTTGTCCATTTATGTTTGAATGAATCGAATAATAATAATAATATATTTATCAAGTTTTATGTAGAGCGATCAATCGAGTTCAAATTTAATATCTCGCCAAAATTGTGCTTTTAATTTGGAATCTTGTTATATTTTCAAATCAAAGTGTACCTAGCTTGGGCAATTGGGTGTGTTTATCTTTGTCTTTCCTACTCCTTTAAACAAAGCTTTAGAACTAATTTAAATATCATCTGCCAGAACATGCAAAATACTAATAGTCTAATAATCTTTTGTAGATTTTGAGACGCGTACAAAAATGAAACGCCATTTACTTAAGAGAAGTCGGGTCTAACACGAGACTTCTTTTGTCCCATTTGTCTCCATATTTTACAATATCTCTTAAGTTTTATAGCAATAAATATAACAATTATTCTCGGTGTACAGGAAGAGGTTCCTATCGACTACTCACAACATGTGGATAATCCTATACATCGAGAGTAATTCTAAATATAAAGCATCATTATCAAGTGTCAATATTATCTTTTTCATCATTAACTCACCTATTGTAAGTAGTCGATAGGGATTTTGTGAAACTCTATTATGTACACCAAAAATAATTTTAAATATAAAGCATCGTTGTGAGGGGAGCTCTCTTTGTGGAAAGAGTCCAAATGAGTTGTGGGAACCTGGGAGCCAACAAGGGCACACGAGACTTCTTTTGTCCCATTTGTCTCCATATTTTACAATATCTCTTAAGTTTTATAGCAATAAATATAACAATTATTCTCGATGTACAGGAAGAGGTTCCTATCAACTACTCACAACATGTGGATAATCCTATACAGCGAGAGTAATTCTAAATATAAAGCATCATTATCAAGTGTCAATATTATCTTTTTCATCATTAACTCACCTATTGTAAGTAGTTGATAGGGATTTTGTGAAACTCTATTATGTACACCAAAAATAATTTTAAATATAAGGCATCGTTATCAAGTGTCAATGTCATCTCTTTCATCATTTAAACAAAAAACAAATGAAATTGTTGCACCATTCCAACCAAGACCGCTACCATTTTCGACTTTTATATGGACTTCGTTGTCCAAATTTGCCATTGACACGTTATTATAGGTAAATGCATCCAGCCGATTTCCAATTGTCCAATAAAGGCAAATTAATGTCTGACAAAATAGATTCAACTATTTTTTTATTAGTTTTTCACTTTAGATTAATGAGATTTTGGATAAAACAAGCTCTAAACGGGGGCTAAATTCATAAATCAATTAAATCACAAAACCAATGATTCTCCAGTTTATTCCTGGAATATATAATAATAATATAATAATACGTGCGGTCTGCTTAGATGTCCCTTTATAAATTGGATGATAGGTCAGTGAAAATTTCTGCAACACTGGAATCTAAGATCCATGGCTAACAATTCCAAATTACATGTAGTGATGTTCCCATGGTTGGCTTTTGGTCATATTATTCCATTCTTTGAGCTCTCCAAATTCATAGCTCAAAAGGGTCACAAAATCTCATTTGTTTCCACTCCAAGAAATATTGATCGTCTCCCAAAAATCCCTTCTCATTTAGTTTCTTCCATAACCCTAGTTAAGATTCCACTGCCTAAAGTTGAAGGACTCCCTGAATCTGCAGAGGCAACCATGGATATCAGGAATGAAGATATACCCTATTTGAAGAAAGCATTTGATGGGATGGAAACTGAGTTGACTCGTTTCTTGGAAAACTCACTTCCAGATTGGGTTCTCTACGATTTTGCTCCACACTGGTTACCTCCAGTTGCAGCAAGACTTGAAATTTCTCGTGCCTTTTTTATGATAATTAACGCATGGTTTTTAGCTTTCTTTGGACCATCTGAGATCTTGATTAACGGTTCTGATGAAAGGAAAAAAGCTGAAGAGTTTATGATTCCACCAAAGTGGGTCCGATTTGAGACAAAAGTGGCTTATCGAAGATACGAAGCAAACTGGATCGTCGCATCAAATCAAAAGAATGACTCAGGAGTTTCAGATATTTATCGAGGAGGTAACGTAATTCATGGGTCCGAGGTTATATTCATAAGACACTGCAACGAGTTTGAACCGGATTGGTTGAAATTACTTGAAGAGCTTCACCATAAGCCAGTTATTCCAGTAGGTTTAATGCCACCCCAAGTGGAAGAAGATGACAGTCAATCATGGGTTTCAATCAAAACTTGGCTTGATGATCAAAATATACAGTCAGTTGTTTACGTAGCATTAGGGAGCGAGGTGACTCCGAGTCAAGATCAAATCTATGAGTTAGCTCTTGGATTGGAGTTATCCGATGTTCCCTTCTTTTGGGCACTGAGGAAGCCATCTGGGTCAGACGATTCCTACTCAGAGATTTTACCAGACGGGTTCGAGGAGAGAGTCAAGGGTCGGGGTATGGTGTGGAAAAGTTGGGCACCTCAGCTGAAGATATTGAGTCATGACTCGGTGGGTGCATTCTTGACTCACTGTGGTTGGAGTTCTTTCATAGAGGGACTCTCTTTTGGTCATCCATTAATTGCCTTACCTTTTCTGGCTGATCAAGGTTTGAATGCTAGAATCATTGCTGACAAGCAGGTTGGCATAGAAGTCCCGAAAAACGAAGAAGATGGATCATATACGAAGAACAATGTGTCCGACTCGATAAAGTTGGTAATGGTTGCAAATGAGGGGAAGCAATTTCGAGACAAAGCAAAAGAAATGAGTGAAATATTTGGGAACAAGAAATTACACGATAGCTACATTGATAATTTCATTAAATTTCTTGAAAACCCTAGGTTCACGTTAAGTGCTGCTACAAGTACCAGTGCATAGTTTTCCATTAGAAGATCATAATTCTTGACTTCTTGTTATTTGGAGCACTAAGAATTTCCAACTATGTTCAGATGTTACAATTTGTTTGTCTCATACCATCTTCAACGTGAACGCCAAAACACCAAAATGCACCATTTTTTGGTGTTAAGGAGCTTCAATGGAATACCATACTTTGCACCATTTTGGTGAAAAATGGTGCAAAGTGGTCAAAGTCTTTTTTGCCATTTCTTATTCTTTTCCAAATAAATTGGTGAAGGGTATTTGTGTCATTTGTGTTATATATTTTTTAATACAATAAATTATTATTATTATTTGCATTTAAAATAAATTTTAAATGTAAGAAATAATAATTAATGAATTAATTAAAAGAAGAAGAAAATTTAAAATATAACAAACACAATTATTTATTAAAGTTAACACGAAATATAGTAAACAACGACATACATTCGATAATATAATTTTATTTAAAGAAAATGATACATAAAAAAGTGTATAGTTTAGTAAACAACGATATACATATGATAATCTACTATTTTTTGATGGCATGATATATTTTTTTCGTGTTGTGGTGTTTTTATTAATTATACTATGTTTTTTTTATATTTATTAATGAAATTAATCTTCTCCGTAATTTAACGTTAGTATTTATTTAGTAATTTATGTATTTTTATAAAATAATTAAATAAATAATATTTCAAATAAATAAATTATAAAGAATAAAAAAGGGGGAAGAAAATGGTTAAATACTGTTCATTTGTTGTAAATTTTACTATAATAATCGTAGATAAATTTTAATTTGGTGCAAAATTTGATACAGCATTGAAAATGACGTCATGCTATATTTATGATTTGAAGTTTTGCAGTTAAAATTTAACAACCTTAATTTTGACATCCAAGAACGTTGTTATTGATCATTATATATTCTGAAATCTACAGAGGAAAGAACAATAAATAATCAAGACAAGACAATCCTTTTGACATCCAAGAATTTCAGTTTACGCAGTAAAAAATAGAATATTCAATTTCCGAGTCATTCATTTTTGCACCATAAATGTGAATTGATCATATTTTAAGGTTGTTCGATCAGGACTAAATTTGTTTAAATGAACAGTAACATGGATCTAGTGTTAAAAATCAAATGGGCTCAACGGGTCAATTATATATAGGAGTGTTAAATGAGTTAAGTCATTCGACTCATGCACCGTCAAGCGACTTGAAGCATGACGTGAGGCTATTCGAGCTCGACTCATACTACCCCGTTTCATCAAATGTTGGTTAGATTCTTGTCAATTTTTGTTTACGATAATTTTCCGAAAAGTCAGTCGTCTTTTTCATAACACTACTGCCAAAAAATGATGTTGACGATGTTTGAATCGAACTTCTAAAATTAGTATTACACTATCGAGAGAGAATCTTTGTCCTCGTTTAAATTATCATCATTTTCAATTCATAGAAACAGTTTGGTATGGTTTGATTTCTCCGTCTTCGATATTTTTTTACAAATGACGTGTTATACGTTATTAGAAAAAATAAATTTTTAAATATTTCTTTCTTTCGTGGATTATAGTAAGAATACTAAATTTAGTACGCAGATGAACTTTCTTAAATCTTTACCCATCGAAATTGGTAATAAAGCATTAAAGCTTGTCCGATTTTCACTCACCTTGACAATAAATAAGACCAATCAAATTGCTCTTGCCTTGGATGGTTATATTAACGTTTGCTTCGCCTCTTAATCAAAGCATGTTCGCAAATGCACTGTGCTATCCACTACGGATCTTTCCCTCCACTGTTCCTTTTTCAAAGATAAACACTATACTTTTTGTAAACAGTCGTCCGATCATAATCACTGCAAAGGAAGACATTCCTTCTCCCGAAGTTACGAGATTATTTTTGTCGAGTTCCTTAAAAAAAGTTGTCTTACTTCCCTAATTATTCTTGTTGACCCCAAAAAATGTTGCTAACAGATGACAGACCCACCCGCGCACACGTGAGCGAAAGTCCAATATGCCAAAACACATGGATGATCTAAAACGGACAGATCAAGGGCGTGGGAATAGCTCAACGGTGCGGGACGAGAACTTTTGGAATCCAACGAGATGTTTTGTAAACCGATTGTACAATAATTACCAATCATTATTTGTAAATGTGTATCTAAATATGTATGAACTCGTTTATGTTGCAAGATAATAAGAAAGAAAGAGTTGAGTAAAGTATGATTTTTTTGTATTGATTCTTGCATTAGCCTTTGTATGGGGTATATGGGGGAGTATTTATAGCGTCACAAGTTAGATCGTGACCTTTGGTTCAGGGTACACGTGGCCTCATCCGAATAATTTACATGTCAAATTGTAGGCATCAGCCGCACCTAACCTGCTATACATTTATTGATCGGCAGAGCCGCCTCTACTAGTGGCAAAACTTAACATTTACACTCATGACAAACATCCTTTCAATCATTCAAGTAAGATCTTTGTGCAGAGGATCTCTTGGGAGAAGTGTCTACGGAAGATGCTGCTTTGTGATTCGGAGGCTACTACCTCGGCTATAGAGCTTCGGCCAACAGGACCTCGTCCACCTTCAAGGGGCCTCGACATATGGGCTTCGGAAGCTCCTCAAGAGGCAATGATAGATGGGCCTCGGTATATATGTGCCTAGGCTTCTGTGGACTCGGTTTGTGGGCCTTGACTATGCAAATCACCTCGACTTGAGTGCCACTTAGTTCGACATGAGTTGGCTGTGGGCCCCGGTGGGTTGCCCAGGTATGCAAACACATAACAATAGTCCCCTAAATCCAAATATAATCATTTATGTAATACGAGGATTTTGATGAAGTAAAGCCAGCCAGTTAAGTTGAAAGAAATTTTTCTACCCCAAATAATAGTCCCTCAAGTCCAAGTATAGATATTTATATTATGGTTGGAGTTATAAATGTGCTATTGTGGAAGAATGATGAAGCCGAGGTGGTTTGAGAAATCGAACATGCGAGACTTGTGGAGGTTGAATTCTTTCATCGTCCTCCTGGGTGGAGACAATATATGGAACTTGATTCCTCCGGGAGCTGTGGTCCACAATATAGCCGGTCAGCGGGGGGTGCTTAGCCTCACTGGCGTAATTCCTTTTAGCGTTTCGCGTTTCACTGCACACATATGGGCCTCCAAATATGGTATCCACCTCATGGATAAGGGTCTTATCATGAGTTTGCCGATTTCTTCGGTGTCTGTGCCCTTCCCTGGGCCTCTCTGCATCATGCTCCTTTCGTCACGGGGAAACATCCCTTTGACGGGGAGCGGTCTCTTCACGTTCAAGTCGATTGTCATACCTAGGTGGGAGCATGTTCGTCTGGGGCGATTCATTTTTATCCCTGGGAGGTACTTACCGGGTACAGTAAGCATAGTCTCGACAATTTTCTGTGTCGTGACCATAGGACCGGTGGTATATGTAGTATTCGGAAAGGTTCGAATTTAACCTATTTCTAGGTCCCGAACCTCGGCCTTGGCGTCTTCCCCTGCAGGATCCTTGCGGAGTTCCCATCTGCTGGGTGTTAGTGACTAGGTTGATATCCTCATATGCCAAGGTAGGAAATGCGTTCAGAGTGGTGGTGGCAAGTGCTTGCCTAGAACTCTCATTACCGGCTTGGTTCATTTGGTAATCCATCAAGTGGGAGGTCGACCCTCTAGCACGCTATCTTTGCGGAGATGGGAGGCCTCTACTTACCTTGTTCCTATGCTCAATCAATTCTTCATTGATGATCTCTCGTCTCATCATCTCGAGTAGGGCGTCATAGGTGGTGGGGTCTTGATTTTGCACGTCCCTTCAAAACAGTTTGTTCATGTTCAGGCCTCCTCTCAGTGTAGATAATGCCTCACGATCGGTGACTTGTACACAGTACGTCATCTCATCAGTGAAGCGTGATAAGAAGCTCTTCAGGGACTCCCCATGTGCCTGTCTCATATCTTGGAGATGTTGGATGGGAGCCTCTCCCTCTTTGTTCACAGCGAACCTCTTCAAGAAGGTGGTTTTGAATCCAAGCCAACTTCTTATGCTCCCAAGTGGTAACCTACTATACCAAATTTCAGCTGCTTCACTAAGTGCTAAGTGGAAAGGTCTGCATTTCACAGCTGGGGTGGCGCCGCTTAGGCTCATGTGAGTTTTGTAAGCATTCAGGTACTTCTCTGGGTCGCCTCTCCCGTCATACTTTGGTATCTTGGGCATAGCGTAGTGGTTCGAGACCTGGGCACTCTTTAGTTCCCTTGAGAATGGTAGGTTTTTATCATCATCGTCTAAGTCACAAGACCTCTGCTGCTCATCTGAATCGTTTTCATCGGCCTCATACCTTGGTGGTTGGTGAGAGGTGCCGGGTGGCGCCTATTTCTAGGCGATGCAGCACCGGGGGGGCATTTTCATGCCTTTCTTCCGACTGTTGAGGCATTGGAGGTGGGAACTGTGGCCTTGTCCAAGGCTCGTGAGGCTGTTGTTGCCTAGGCCTTAGTTCTGTAAGGATGATTTTGTCAAATACACTACCTGATCTCTTATATCTTCGCTTTTGCTCATATGGAGGTGAGAAGTTATCATGGTTCAAAGGACCTCGGTGGGTCGCCCAGAAGCGTAGTTGGAATAAACATCAACTTCCACTTCCCTTTCGAATGGGCTTCTACTTCGACTATAGTCCGGCGAGGCAATCCTCTGACTTTGAACTTCATCTTCTTGCTGGTAGTGCCCTTGGGGGGCATTTGGAGGAATAAAGAAGCATCCATGGCCTTGCATTTGGGCCATGAGTTCCCTCATAGCCATGTTCTGGTTAGCAATGTCCCTCATGTTGGTTGTCATAATGGCCATTTCTCTTGATAGCCGGGCTGTCACTCGCATTCCACCTATTCTATGGCAGTGGTGGAGTCGGTGCCGAGCTGTTGGGGCAGTTGCTGGAGGGGGCAGACCTGCTTTTTCTCTTACCCTCCTAGGGGGTGTATCTTCGTTTGAACTCATTTTCTTTGTTTGACCTTCAAATTCTTGCTAAGTTGTGGGGCTTCCTCTTGTTATTTTTCAAGAACAAATCTTTTTTCAATAGGGATACCCAAATGTTTCTCTTCAATAAGCTTTCACCACAATGTTGTTCGTGATTATTGTATGGATTCCCACATAACGGCGTCAATCTGTTGACCCCAAAAATGTTATCAACAGACGTCGGACCCACTCGTGCACACGTGAGCGAAAATCCAATACGCTAAGACACATGAACGGTCTAAAACGGACAAATCAAGGGCGTGGG